AAATTTGCAGAGAGAGGGGACATCAACAACAATACAACAAGTTAGTTCTATCTTAAGAGTAGCTTTATCTAAATTTAGGAGTAGTTTCTCTCTGTAATTTGTAATCTTTGTAAACATTGGTGGTTTCATCTTGAAATCATCTTTAGTTTGCTTTGTTTACTTTGTTTGGTCTTGCTGATTGTAACTTTTGTTCCAAAGAAGTCCTTGTACTTTCATGGTATTTGAATAAAAAACAAAGTCGCTTGATTGCTCTTGATTGTTTAGTCAAAATTGTTGTTTAATTCTTGTCGATTGGGAGTTATCATAATTTTTACTAACAACGCTTGGGAATCCAATTGCATTGAATAATAAAAATCGACAAGCACATGTTAAAAACCTAATAACTGTCCATTACATGATAACCATCAAAAAAATATTTGTTAACAACAAATACAACCATCTATTACATGATAACCATCCAAAAACATCAACAAAAATAACAACCCATTATATGATCATCATCCAAACGCATACTAAAAATTAATTTAGTAAAAAAATACAAAATTAAAAATGTAAAAGAATTATCATTTTTATACAATTTTATCTTTGGTGGGTAAAAATAATTTTTAAAAATTCAAAAATAATTTTTTGACATTTATTTTTATCAAACTAGTTTATATTTTATCAAATTAACGACTTTGCCCTTGAAATGGAGCAATGGCATCTTTAGAACGAGATTCAAAATTTAGGATTAAAAGTATCACAATTGAAAATTTAGGGATCAAAATGACACAAGCCCCAAACTATAGGGACTGTTAGTGTAATTTGCCCTTTCAAAACAATTAGAGAGAATTGGAGCTAATTTTTCATGTTTGTAGGCATTTTTAGAAGAAAAAAAATTGTAACAATTATACCAATAGATGTTCGCTTTATATATTAGTATATATATATATATATGTATATATAAATATTTGTATAATATATTCAAAGTAAAAATAAGCAAAAATTTCCTAGAAAATATGGCAAGAATGGAGAGAAAAGTGAAAGTAGCATGTGGCTTGCATATGCTAAATAATTGGACACTCTATATATAGTGGCCATATTTACTTCATTGATCTCAAGACAATACAATACAATACAATATATCTCCCACCTGTTAGGTTTAGCATGACCATGAATGGATCAATGCAACCTGTTACAATTCTTTTCTTCTTTCTTGTCTTTCTCACCATAACGTCCATTCATTTTAGCTTCTGCAATGAAAACCATGATGTGGCCATGTGCATGGAGAGTGAGAGACAAGCTCTTTCTGCCTTCAAGCAAGACCTAGTAGATCCTTCAAACCGACTCTATTCTTGGGAAGTCGAAGATGATTGCTGCAAGTGGGAAGGAGTTGTTTGCAATAACTTAACTGGCCATGTCCTCGAGCTTCATCTTCAAAATCCTAATACTTCATTTGATTTTGATTATGAGCTTAATGACTATTGGTTTAAGAAGTCAGCATTGAGAGGTGAAATAAATCCTTCTTTGCTAAATTTGAAGCACCTCAAGTACTTGGATCTAAGTCTGAATGATTTTGGAGGAATGCCAATCCTATCCTTCATTGGATCTCTAGCCAATTTGCGATATCTTAACTTGTCTAAAGCAGGATTTGCAGGAACAATTCCCTATCAACTTGGAAATCTGTCAAGCTTACATTTTTTGAGTCTTAAAAGTTTTCTCAAGATGGATGTTGAGAACCTTCAATGGCTTCTTAATCTTTCCCACTTGGAACACCTTGACCCAAGCTATGTGAACCTTACTAAGGCTCCCAACTGGCTACAGGTAAGTAACGAAATCCCTTCTTTAGTAGAGTTACATTTGTTTGGTTGCGAACTTGATCACATTCCTCCTCTACTCGGTGTTAATTTTACATCTCTTGTTGTACTAGATCTTTCCGAGAACTTCTTTAACTCTTTAATACCTAGGTGGATCTTTAGCCTTACTAGCCCTATTTCTCTTGATCTAAGCGGGGAGATTTTTGTAGGAAGGCTTGAAGGTTTTAGAGAAAATGGATTTCAAGGTCCATTTACTAAGGTTTTCCAGAACATGACCAGTCTTGAATATCTTGATCTATCCCATAATGAACTTGAGGGTCCATTTCCTGTACTTTTGTTAAACATGACCAGTCTTCGACATCTTGATCTATCAAGTAATATACTATAGGGAAGGCTACCAAGATTCTTGGGAAATCTTTATAACTTGAATTTTATTGATCTGTCAACTAACAACTTTAGTGGGGAATTACTTATAAGTTCATCTAAATGTGCAATATATGCTTTGGAGATATTGTCCTTGTCTGGGAGTCATCTTTCTGGTCATTTACCTGATGAACTTGAACAATTTAAAATTTTGCGATACCTTAGTCTCTCATCTAATTTGTTTTCAGGTTCCATTCCAAACACTATAGGAAGATTGGCATCCTTAGAATATTTGGATGTAAGCATAAATCAACTAAATGGAACTCTTCCCTAAAGTTTTGGACACCTTTCAAAGTTGCAACAATTTGATGTGTCTGATAATTTGTTGGAAGGCATTGTGTTCGAAATTCACTTCACCAATCTCATCAATCTAAGCATAATATATGCCTCTGGAAACCGGTTGGCTTTAAAGGTGAGTCTTGACTGGCACCCTCCACTTCAACTTATAGATGTGGAACTTGCTTCGTGGCATTTGGGCCCAAAGTTTCCCATATGGCTCCAATCACAGAAGGACCTAGCGATTCTTGACCTGTCCTACACTGGAATCTTAGATGAGATACCAATTTGGTTTTGGAACTTCTCTTCCTCGCTTTTTTTCTGTAGATCTCTTGCACAACCAAATCCATGGTGATATTTCGTATCTATTCGTTGCTTCTACAGTCCAATATATTTACTTAGAATCCAACCATTTTAGCAATCCATTACCCCATATTTCTTCCAATTTGGTTGATCTCAATCTTTCCAACAATTCATTTTCTGGGGATATCTCCCATTTCATTTGTGACAAACAAAAACATTTGCAATTTCTTGATTTAGGAGAAAACCTTCTGTCAAGTGAAATTGCTAATTGCTGGATGGGTTGGCAATCACTAAAAGTCATAGAAATGGGAAACAACAATCTAACAAGGAATATCCCAAAATCCATGGGGCTTTTAGGAGGTTTGAAATCGTTACATTTGCGCAACAACCATCTCTCTGTAGAAATTTCTTCGTCTTTGTAGAACTGGTCAAATTTATGGGTGGTTGACCTCAGCGAGAATGAGCTTCAAGGAAGCATACCCACATGGATGGCGGAATGGCTACCAGATTTGATTGTTCTTACCCTTCGTTCAAATAAGTTAGATGGCGTAATACCTCAAGAACTTTGTCACCTCTCCTCTCTTCAAGTCTTGGATCTTGCTGACAACAATTTGTCCGGAGCAATACCACGGTGTATCAACAAATTTATTGCCATGTCCTTAAACCCAAATGAAAATGCCATGAATGCTTCTCCTTCTCCTGTTGCTATTGTTGCTTTTGCTCCCACTAGTCGCATAGATTTCACAAAGATGAAGTTTTGGTGACAAAAGGAAGAATATATCAATATGACAAGACTCTTCCTCTTGTGACTAGCTTAGACCTTTCGAAGAACAGTATATCTGGAAAGATCCCCGAGGAACTAACTACTCTCCAAGGATTGTGTTTTCTAAATTTGTTTGGAAATCATATAACTGGTGTGATTCCAAAGAATATAGGTAACATGGGGTTGCTGGAATCTATTGATTTATCCAGAAACCAACTCTGCGGTGAAATTCCTCCAAGCATGTCAGGTTTGAATTTTTTAAGTTACTTGAATTTGTCTTATAATAACTTGTCAAGAAAAATTCTATCTAGCACCCAACTTCAGAGCTTCCATGCTTCTAGCTTTATCGACAACAAGCTGTGTCGACCTTCACTCACAAAGAATTGTAGTGATAATGGCAAAACACCTGAGGGGAATGAAGGAGATAACGAAGGTGCTACATCTGAGGTGGATTGGTTTTATGTATTTATGGCTTTAGGATTTGCAGTTGGTTTTTGGGCGTCTCTACTCCTATATTGTTCATTAAGTCATGGAGGTATGCATATTTTCAATTTCTAGATAATGTTTGGACTAGACTGGTGTTGCTATAAGTGAGTAAGTGTGTTTAGATTGTACAACTCAAGTAGACGTCTTCTATTTGCGTCTTCTTAATATCATGAATAAATGCACTTTCGTGGAATGTATTCTTTCTGCATAAAGTTCTTGTGATTTTATAATGAAATTTTTCATATCATGGTTAAAGTTTTTGTCAATAAGTAGCTTATGATTCTGTGTAAAATTAAAAGTCTGTGAGAATCATTTGCGAAGTCGAAAAACTTCTAAAAGAAAAATTGCTTTAAATTTGGAAACTATAGCAAATTTAGAGCGGACCATGGAATTGTTTACCCCTAAAACCCCAAATACAATAAAAAATGAAACGTGTATATATAACTTATGCATAAAACTTTGTTTTCAACTTGCTTTCAATCAGAATATCTTAAAAGAGTATACCATAGAACATATTTTATCCCATACTTGTCATATATGTATATCGAAAATGATCCGTAGCTCGAATGTGTAGAGCTCGAATGGCTCAAATGGTACGGAAAATATTATCTTACCAGTAAGAGAATAAAAAAACCCCCTAAAACGACGTCGTTTTGAGATTTCGAGCCATTCGAGCCTTTGATATTTCGAGCTACGTAGCGGAGTTGTATATATATATATAATCTTCAAATAGTTAATCTTTTAATTATGAATTTGTAGTTCAAGAAATTCAAAAAACTTGTTGCTGTTGGATCACCCCATGTGAATGGAGCAACCACTTTGGAGAGAGTGGGGGTGGCTCATCATCTCCAACCCACTAGAAAGTGGAAGGAGGTAGGTGGTGACCAATCACATCCTCCCTCAATTGTGTATAAATTGAGGTGAGGAGGAGGGGTTGAATGAGAGAGAGATAGATAGAGCAAACCAAAGAGAGTGAGAGATGTGAGGCGGAGAGACCGTCTCTCTTAGTGTGAGCGAAGAAGACGGGTGAGTGGGTGAGTGAGGAGAGTGTGAGCTTCTCCTCTATTGTAATCTTTCTGTAATCTCTCCATTGTTATAGTGATAACCAGTTCCTCTCTCGTGGACGTAGGCATTGAGGCCGAACCACATTAAATATAGTGTCTCCTAGAGTGTGGGTGTGCTTTACTGCTTGGTATATTTTCTACAAGGTCTTGGGTGGGATCCCCGATCCCACCAAGTGGTATCAGAGCCTCGTCGGTCGTTTTCGGAACAAAAACAGTGTGTTGTTCGAAACTGCCCAGAAATCAAGTTGCTCAAAATCAGGTTTTGAGCATACCAGGAACAAGGTCTTGACGAGAGGAGTCCAAAAATGCAAAGCAGAACCCCAGAGGACACCGGACGCGCCCTTACGCGCCCCTTGAAGATGGCGCGTGAGGCCCAGTCTCAAGCACGCGCTTTACGCGCCGTTCAGTGCATCGGCATGTTAGTCCACTCTCAGACACGCACCCTACACGCGGCGAAAGGAAGAAGGAGAGTGTGGCGTGCATGCAAGTGACATCAGCGCCATGTCAACGTGCCACGTCATCGCCACGTGGCACCGTCGTCAGCCAGCGAATGCCATGTGTCTGCCACGTCGGCAGTCCAGTCAGCGTCGCGTCATCTGCTACGTCAGCATACGGAGGAGTGATCCAGTGTTGCGCGGCTAAGGTGCAGCCGCAGGAGAAAGGATCCAGTGTTTCGTGGCTAAGGTGTAGCCGCAGATCTGAGGCATCCAAAATGTTTTGGCTTGATCTAAGCCATTCGGAGTCCGTTTCTAACGATCCAATAGTGCTTTCCAACTATTTGGAGTATTCTAGACACATCCGTACGATCAGATTTTGGAATCAGAATTTCTATAAAAAGAAAGAAGATGAAAGTGGCAGACGACGTTAGGTGCAGTGGACGGAATAATCTGTTAGAACAAGGAATATTCCCTGAACTTTTGAAAATTGCAATTTGGCCGAAAATTTTCCAAAAATTGTGGTGTGGCCTAGCTTTCGGGGATGTTTTTTCAGTGAGGTCCCCAGAAGTGTAGCGAAGGTTGGTCCTAGCTAAACGAACTGTTCCGGACGCAACTGCGGGGTCAAAATAGTGAAATTCTAAACGATTTTTAAAGATTGTCAAAACATGGGAGTTTGTCATCTTCAATAGTCGAAGGAAGGTTGCCGGATATTGTGGAACGCTGCGGATTCTCTAAAGAGGTTAGAATGGGCAGATTCTAACCAGATTGGACAACCAACCAGATACAAATCAAAATAGATCATTGGAGACCAAAGGAGATCAGGCTTGATCAAATGGCAGATCGAGGGAGATCAGGATTGGTTAGGGGCGATCAGAGAATTACAGAGATGATTATCTCTGAAGTTCATCAGATGATCTGGTTCAATCAGAAGAGAAGACCATTCATCGACGTACAGATGATTTGGCAACAAGTACAGGCTTAGGGAAATGCTGTGGCTGTTGGAGCTACTGTATATGAGTAGGTACTAGTGGTATGTGGACGTGTAGAACAATAGTTGCAGAGGAGCATACTAAGCGCAGAAGCACAAATGCAAACGTGCAACAGTGCAAGGGTACGCTAGAGTGTCGTACAGAGGCGTGAGAAGAGTGTGTAGCAACGGGTTATTGACAGTTCACAGGAACTTCTAGATAGAGAAATTGAGATGGGTAAAACGCAAGAGTGCGCGCCAAGGAGTGGGAAGTATCTTTTCTTTATGGTGGTTTCTTTAGTTCCATTGCAGTGGAGGATAGAGTTGATGCGGATCTCTCGAGCGAGCTCGACGCAGGGAGACCAGAAACCATGGGTGCAAGCACTATGCAAGAAATTGCATAGCTGACGATGCTTTGACAGATGGAGCTACTGTTAACAATCAATCTGCTGGACAGCAAATCAAGGATTGCAAAAGCACAGACAACGAGCGTATGTGGAAATGCTAGGAGGTTATTCAGAAGTGCAGAGGGCAAAGACTGATAGTTCAGAGGAAAAACTCTGAGCAAAGAAGACCGAGGACGTTGATGGGATAAACAACGAGTTATCAATTGCTCCAATGACTGGTTCTGCGAGGTAATGCATGACAGTCAAGGGCATCCCAGTGGGGAGTGCAGGACATCTAATCAGGGGGTGTCGGATATCTTAGTTACGCAAGTTCAAGCATAGTAGGTGAAGACATCCGAGATAGGAAACGTGGAAGAGATGTGTGGGAGATAAGAGCAGAGGCTCTCTCTAAATCAGAGAGTGGTGTGAGTTGAGTAGAGGATGTAGGATTTCCTCCTCCTCTTGTATCTCTGGTGTATTATCTCTAGCTTCAGGGGATGCAGCGTCTCAGTGAGGAGATGAAGATTCTGTTGGTGTTTTGGGTGTGACAAGATTAACAGCAGTGTGTGCAGCGGATCACCTCACATGGGTTGAGGGGGTGATTTGTTGGATCACCCATGTGAATGGAGCACCCACTTTGGAGAGAGTGGGGGTGGCTCACCAACTCCAACCCACTAGAGAGTAGAAGGAGGTAGGTGGTGACCAATCACATCCTCCCTCAACTGTGTATAAATTGAGGTGAGGAGGAGCGGTTGAATGAGAGAGAGAGATAGAGCAAACCAAAGAGAGTGAGAGATGTGAGGCGGAGAGACCGTCTCTCTCGGTGTGAGCGAGGGAGACGGGTGAGTGGGTGAGTGAGGAGAGTATGAGCTCCTCCTCTATTGTAATCTTTCTGTAATCTCTCCATTGTTATAGTGATAACCGGTTCCTCTCCCGTGGATGTAGGCATTGAGGCCAAACCACGTTAAATATGGTGTCTCCTAGAGTGTGGGTGTGTTTTACTGCTTGGTATATTTTCTACAAGGTCTTGGGTGGGATCCTCGATCCCAACAGTTGCCAATTGTTCAGTTTCATTCTTAACAGATTGAGATGGAAATTAAGATATCTATTCATGTCCTTTTGTTAAGCTCTTCTTCATAATTCAAAATTTCATCCAAATTAAGCTCTTTGTCTGCATAATATTGCCTTTCTGGGAGAGGACAACCTTGGTTGGAGTTGTTGTCAAAATGGTGCCAGAAGAGCTTGCGCCAATAAGGATCCTACAAACACATACGACTACCGCAGCGACATACTCCACCAACATATTACTACGCTCAACGTCAAAACAGTAATGAAACTTTAGTATTTGAAGCGACACCTAGTAAAATAAATATGATAGGGATAATGGTAATTTATATAAAATTCAACCCACATCAATATATCACTATGGAGTTACATGAATACAAAATTCGGTCCAGCATTACTCTTTTCAATTAGTCCACTCTTTAACTCAGATTGGAATAACTAAAATAAAAACAATATTGATGCAAATAGATTGTATGAACCCAATGTTAATGAGGGAAATAATAGGGTAAACTACCAATAGTTCTTAATAGTTGATTTAATTCCCATCAAATCCTATTGAAAATAAATCCTACTAAAATCGTCGCAAAAAATAATTTTTTGTAACGATTTTTTGTATATGTCGCTAAAAATTGACAATGAGTGCCTTCTTTTTTACACGATTTTTATAAATTGTTACTAAAACTTACAATTAATTACTTTTTTGTGACAAAATTTTCAAATTATCGCTAAAAGTTGAAAATTAGTGACTTTTTTGTGACGATTTTTTTAAACTGTCGCTATAACTTATAATTAGTGACATTTTTTGTGACGAAATTTTCAAATTATCGTTGAAAATTAACAATTAGTGACGTTTCTTAATATTGTTCGATGAAAAACGCCATTAATTATCATAAGGCCTATTGGACAATAAATCAACCTATTAGGACCTACACATAAGTCCTTCGAAATAATATCCATCCCAACATCAAATTGTATGCAAGTCAACGAGTGTCAAATGCATATATAATTCAGATGTACGTAATAAAAATACCATTTTATGTTCTTTTGATAGTATAGATAATTTATTCGATAAAATCATATTCCCAGCTTGTTAAATATTCTAAAAATTTCATGCCAATTTAACGACATTCACAAATTATCTTTATCTGTACTACTTTAAAAAGTACGAAGATACCTAAATGTTTTCTGCTTTTTTAAAATGTCAAAAATGCCCCTCTATTTATCAACGAGTTGCTCAAGTCAAAGGGACGATTCGTAATTGGCACTACTGATACAACTATTATCAATAACTGCAATGTTTAGTAAAGAAGTTTCCAATTGCAATAATATATTTTCCACAAATTGCACAAACCTTAAAAGCGGAAGACATCGACTCTGAAATTTGACAAGACAGAGACAATTAAAGAATTGTTTTTATCCCTGAATTTTTTAAGTGAGAATTGTTTTTCTACCAACTCTGAATTTTTTTAGTTTTGTTCATGCAGAAGGCTACCTATAATTAAAATTTCAAATTACATTATCTATGTTTTCTTGAAAAATTTTGGTCTAATAAAATTGTTAGGTTTTTGTTCTTGGTAATCCCGTTTGACAAAACTCCTTTCAATTGTAATTTTATTCATTCTTTTACTTCAGTGAGGCTATAAGTTTTTAGATGCGAATCCAACTCGAATTGTGCCTATGCAGAGGAGTTTGTGATCTTAATGTTGTTGAAGTTGTTTGTTCGCTCAAGCGAAAGAATGTGCGCTCGAGCGAAGAATCTTTGGTCCCCAGAAGTTTTCATTGATTGTAAAAATACTGAGAAGATGCATTTCTCGCTCGAGCGACACTTTGGTGGCTCCAGCAAAGACACTTGGAAAAACACGTGTTTTAGTCTCTTCGTTTGAGCGAGCATTCCTTCGCTAGAGCGACCATCGCGGCCCTGTTTTCTATAAATATGTGGTTTTATCAGATTTTAGGGTTACGACTTCCAGATCTTCTTCTTGGATATTAGGGTTTTCATTTGGAGCTTCTTTGGTTGTTTCCTTTGATATCTGTGAGAGTTTAATAATGAATTAAGTGGATTATATCAAAGGGTTTGTTTGGTTTGTTTTATTCAAAAAGATAGAGTTGTTCTTCGGTGGATTTCGTGGAACTTGAGCCTGAAGCTTTGGCGGATTACAGAGTGGTTCATCATCGTGGATTCGATATCTGCGTTGTGGTTTCAATGTTGGGCAAGACAATTCCGAGGTGAAGATGGTGGTGGAAGAGGCACATTGGGGTCAGTTTAATTTGGGCGTGGATTCGCTAGGTAATTGAGAGTACACTTGTATAATTCTTTTTTTTTCTTCTTAGTGAATTGTTTTGTAGCTTTGGCCCGTGATTTTTTTATCATAATTGGAGGCGCTCCAATTGTGGTTTTTCCACGTTAAAATCGTTGTGTCGATTTGTCTTGATTGTTTGATTGGGATTGTTATTTATTGGTTAAAATTGATACATAATCACAAATCAATTTCTCGGGGAGTTTAGATTTTTCAATGTTTTCAAATATATATATGTATATATTTTTTTTTTTCTTTCATTTCATTTTCTTGTACTTTCACTTTTCACTATTTTTTCTTTCTAAACAAATGAAGTTCGTTCCGAAATACCACGTTATCATGTTTTCACCCAACGGTAAATTAGGAATAAAGTGAAATTTTAAACATGTGCAATTAAATAGGCATACGATCACAATGGTGTTCCTCACCCACCTATTATGTAAAATATTTGATATTCATTTGAAATCTCTAACATTTTTGTTCAAATTGTTATTGTCCTTGTGAATAAAAAAAAAATATTTATATATAGAACTAGGGTAATTGATTGAAAATTAAACTTCTAGCCTAAAAACCTTTTTTGTATTCCAATTTCAAATAATGAAAGCTTTTATCTCACCTACCTATTCTATTTCTAATTTTTAAACACATGAAGAAACTCAAGTGCAAGGCACGTGCACCATTACCATTACTTGTATTAACAAAGTTTTAAACATAAGATACCCTTAAAAAGAATGACAAAAAAAAAAATAGAAGAGTTCTAAAAATAAACCACCTACTGTAAAGGTAAATGATAAAGGGAACTTGATCCCAAATTGTTGGAGTGTATGCTACATTTTTCTATGATTGTGAAAATTACTCAAGCTTATAGTTCAACAATACTACGGATGTTAGATTTCAAGTACCATAAAACACTACAGATGCATCAGTAGGTAGAAAAACAATAATGACAAATATAAGGGGTCACATGTTAAAAATATGTCAACTGTAAAATGCCAATACTAAACCTTGAAAAAAATTGAGATCTTGCATAAATATTTTACTTAACAAGTTTAAAAATGTGAACGGTTTAGATTATCAAAATCTATTCCAAAATGGGCCCAACAAGTCCAAATGTTCTCTCAAATTGAGATGACAACTTGAGAGAAGTTAAACCCATTAAGAAGTATAATGAAAGTAATAAACACTTAGTATCAATATCGAAATTTCTACTATATATAGTGCTCGTTTGGCAATGGCTATTTTAGTTGACTTTTTGATTTTTTTGACTTTTTTATCTTGAGACTTTTTTAGTCGTTTGGTATTTTTGTTTGGCCTTTTTGGCTTTGGAATAGTTTTTTTTTTTTTTTTTTTTTTTTTTTTGCTTGAGATTTTTTTATTCGTTTGGTATTTTTGTTTGGCTTTTTTAACTTTGAAATGGTGTATTTTTTTTTATTTTTTTGCTTATTTTGTCCTTTTGTGATTTTTTGACTTTTTTTTTGTCCTTTTGTGATTTTTTAATCCAAAATGTTTACCAAACATCACCATAGTGTTAATTTTTAGGTTTTAACTTATTTTAAGTCACATCACCTCTCGTATTTTATATACAAAAAGACAAAAATCAATTTTTAATCAACTTGCTAAATCGCCCCATTATTTTTCATCAATCACAAACGTATA